AAAAGTGGCTGATACTCAGAAGTATTTTATAAACTCTTTTTATATGTATGTAAATACTTTTAAAGGGTTACTTAACTTTTACGGTCATTAAAAATGATTCTAATAGTTCCCTATCCTTTAAAATAAAATACTTACAATAAAATTCATATATTTTTATGGACTTATATCTGGTGCATAAAACCAATACATAAAATATTGACTTTCATACATATATTTTCAATTAATAATAATTGCTTTTTATCTTGTTTATATAAATAATGATTAATCAGAAAATGAAATTAGGTTAGTAAATATATTACGCATAAATGTATATCTTCAGAGAAATTTGTATGCCGCATTTACTTAGTTGGTCTAAAATTTTTATAACTATCATTGATACTTTTCATTGTTGTATATTTTGTTTGTTTAACAATCAGTTATATAAAGTTATACAGTTACATAAATGTTGTTCTTTGTATTATAACGATCACTCTTTTAATATAGAACATTTTTTTATGTATCGTATGTATTATGTCAGACACATCGTACTTAAATAATTCAATTATATTATACAAGATTACATAAATATGTTTTATTTTCGTTGAACATTCTTAAAAAAGTATTTTATTCCTTTCCCTCACTAAAATCAAAAATGATTACCACTTTTAATAATGCATTTTTTTTTTTTTTTTTTTTTTATATAGTGAAAACGTAAATGATTAAAATAATATTATTTAAATTTGTTCCGGAAAAAAACTCGATTTGCTGAGCCTTTCAGAAGATTAAATTAATTAATTATCCATAGTCACGTTGCGTTTTGCGAAAACTATGTCTATGGGAATGAAAGGGATATAAAACAATAATAACATCACAGTATGTAGGGATGCGTGGGAAGTCTAATGTCAGAAGCAGTACAACTCGATGACTGTTGATGAGTTGAGTAAGTAGATAACAGCGGTCTGGCTAGTTGGAATAGCGTTCAAAAAGCGATCGAAAAGGCGGTAGACAAACTATAAAAGTTTACCTTCTCTTAAAGGTAAACGCGAAAAAGTTTTTCACTTTTGAAAGGCTATTAGTTATGTGTTGGTCGCTTCGAGAATGATTTCTTCGTCTATATATATATATATATATATATACTCGAATATATACGTTACGTACGTGTGTGTGTCTGTGTTTCTGTGTACGTGGAGACGGCAGCGCTGGAGATAAATACGGAAGATAATAGAAAAAAAAATACTATATCTTTAATGAGGTATTACGTGTTTAAAGCGCAAGCCGATTAAAAACTTGGTGGGACGAACGAATAAACTTACCAGGTAGAGATGACGAGGAGAGGATGATGGTCACGGAAGATAGCAATGGAGAAAAATGAAACGGAAGTATATTCAATTACCCTGTATATAATATATATATATATATAAGCTGCTCATTTTAACCTCGCGGTGAAATTTCTGTTTTTGTTTATAGTCCCTCGACCGTAGTTCGTTTCAGGACGGCGCAATGGGTACTGCCCTTGGCTAATAATAATGCGACCGGAAATTAATATTTTTTAATTCGGTCTATTGCAGTATAATGTGAAGAGCGTGAAATATAAATCATTGTTTGGTTTTCATTATAATTTCAAAATGTTTTTTTTTTTTTTTTTTTTTGTGAGATTTTTTTAAAAATGAAGATTATTTTTTGACGTTCGAAACAAAAAAAAAAATCCTCGTCGTTCTTTATCCCGAATTTTGAATGCTTACAAGTCTGCTTGCCGACAGTAATTTATTGGTTATTTTAATACATCAACTATAACAATCCGATACAAAATGTAAATTTTTCAATTTATATTTTCCCCAACCGTCAAATTGCAGTACCGTATATTACTTTATAATAATATATATTATAGTTTATTTCAGCTATCTTATATTATTGTACCATTGGATAAATGATTATGTCGAGTGATTTCACAAATCCCACCACAATAACAGTAATTTTTCCGTTCAAATTTATTTAACCACTCGATCAGTTAAATTCGATTGATATACACGGTGCCTTCTTATTCGTACTTCCCTGTAAACAGAAGGATGAAATTCTTATTTATTAGACACCACATATTTTACAGACAGTCGGAATCCTTTAAACTCCGAAAATTTTTATTTACTCGAAGACCAATATTTTTAGGAGTTAATAATACCTATCACGGATATTATAATCCTACGTTTGAACGTTAAATCATAGTAAGTTACGATCGATACGTTTTCAAAGTACTTAAGTGATTTGAAACAATTTTTTTTCCCGTCCGATAGAGAAAAACTTTTTTTTTAAATCATATATCTCTCAAAGATTTATTGCTCGACCACAATGATAATATTATGTTCGTGTTCATATATTTCAAAGACTACATTATTTATACATATTTACTGTAAATATTTACGTATAATGTACATCATACAATATAATATATACATTATGATTTACAATATAAAACGAATACATTTTATTACGCGTATAATGCATTAAGATAAAGAAGCTTGTCATATTTTTTGTGGAAATTAATAACAATTATATTATAATATTTAATAATGCCATATTGTATTTATGGACTAATTTTGTTAATTTTTGCATTTTATTTGAGCATTTTTATACATATAGCATTTTTAGAATGAAGGTTTTCCAAAAATATTGCGTTTATTTTATTATTATAATATTATACATTTATATCATATTGTATCAACTTATAATATAACTCAAAATCGAATGATCTATTTTTGTGAAAACCAAACAAGAGTAAAAATAGATTCATAATTTATATCGGAAATTTCCTATTAATGTACCTAACATTTATTTGTTACTAGCATAATGTATTTATCGACCAAGAAATAACATTATTGTCCATTATTTTCAGGCAATGATGCATTTAGAAATATTGCTTTGGTACTTACAAATTACGATAAAATTCTCGGCTTTTCCAGACATGACTGATAAAAATGTTAAATCAATTATTTGTTTGTTGCATTAGGAACGGCCTTGCGTTGTAAAATCTATAATCAGTACTAACAATAGCGTACTTTCCAGCTCTAATTTATCGATGGTCATACATTAAGTTAGGTACCTATTAAGTAAAAGATGGCCGCCTTTTGGATACATCTATCAACTATATAATAGGTACCTATAAATGTATATATATATATATATAAATCGCGGTAACTTATTTGTAATAAATTCACAGTATTCGAACACACGCATGCGTACTAGCACATTGCATAACATGAGTCTTTACCTGTAGTACCTACCTTTAAAGTTTACCAATTTTTCTATGCATAGCTCTCGTCCACTTCACATTACTCTGGTGGTAGTGATTGTGTGATTTATTTGTAAAACTGTATGCAAAACTAATAGATGTGGTTGCAAAAAAAGTTGTATACTGTTCAAATTGTGAAAATAAATAATTATTTATAATTTATTTATCTTATATTTTTACCCACTTTTAATATTTTGCTAAACAAAATTATTATCATTTACATATAAATGCATATTAAATATACATTTTATTACACGCACGCATAATATGTATTATAGTTTGTAATTTTTCAAGTTTACCTATCACAGAAATTTAATATCATTTCAACGAAATCGGTATTAATGGTCATTCTAAATGTATTTCAAAAACGTTGGTACAAAGTTTAGTAATTTTCGAAACGGACCTCCTTCATAATCGACCCGTTGAGTGATAATGAATAAAATTGTGTTTTAGGTGCGCGCAATTATTGTTTAAAAATGTATAAATAATATGACCGATGTTTTACCAGACTTATCGTGAATGGAGAAGGGGTTCTCGTCGGGATGCATAGTGATTGCGGAATGAACGGGGTGTGATTTAAACTTTTATGATTACGTCAGCGCTCGTGCAAAGTGCGTCCCGAGTGTAGTTTACGCTTGTATGTATATTTTATGAGTTCACGCGGTTTAGTTCAGGGTGGAAATTCCATCGCGATTTAGCGCATTTGGTTAATTTTATTTAACGTCATTCATACGAACGCCGACCGAATATCTTTGCTGAATTGATTTTTATATTATTTTTCTGTGATTGCACAGCCCGTTGTGCCCTGACTCGGACCGTTTTCTTGAATAGGAAAAAAAAATGGAACTAAATGATAACGAAAAACGCAGTGGTATAATCTTTACAGTGATATATAAATGTTGCGTTTATCGACATCGTTGCTCTTGAACTTTAATGCGCATTATTGTCGACTTTTACGGTTATTCCGTTTGCGCAAATGACATTGCGGTATAATACACACAGGTTTATTTATTTATAGTTTTCAGCTTGATATATCCGTCAATGCATATTATACCAGAGCATTTTACGAATAAGAATTATCAAAAACTATGACCTCAGTAACGAATAAGAAATATACCTAATAATATTCGTTTCGACTCTATATTACAAATTTTTCCGATTCTTTTATGGGTAATTTAAAAATAGCTTTTAAAAATTGATTGTTATATTTGAACAATTAAAATATATTACAATCAACTTAAGAATTAATTCATAATTTATTGTATTTAAATTTTATCTTGAGTTAAATTTCATGTAAAAATTTAAATTTAAAGAAAGATAATAATGTATTATTGATGTATAGCCAAATTGGTAAGATTTGTTTTGTTTTGTTTATTTATTGCTTCAAAATAATATTTGACATGGCTTTTTCCGTATTAAATGACCATCGCTAAAGATTTTCCCACACAATTGGCAACAAAAAAATATTTCATCAATTGTATTTGTTCTTATTTTTTGTTATCTGATTCTGCCACACAATTACTTTTAAATGAAATCAACAGACTTTAAAAATACAATCCACTTTTTTCCAATCTTAAGAATTATGTAATCCAAATGTTTTAACATCTGACAATTTTCATTTATAATTTATGGGCATTTTCAGTCATACCACATTGATAATTAGAATAAAAAAGAAGTTTCTGGATTGAAAACAGTCATTTCATTTGTTTTAAAAATTTTGAATTTTTTTTTTTTGCAGTTCGACCATTATCGATCAAATTGGTCGGAGAAAATCGTCCACTATCTGCAGACTCGCCTGTTAACATAAGTTGTCGAGTTACAGGTGCCAAACCACCGCCAATCATCACCTGGTGGAAAGATGCTACTCAAATGACAGATGCTAAACAAATAGTAAGTTATCCAAAATCCAATTATTTTAGCAATAAAACTATGGAAAGCATTAAATTAAAAACACTTTTTTAAACAAGAAATATAAATAATACCTTCAAAATATGTTTAAATAATTATTCTGATCCATTTACCGACAATAAATTATTTTTGTCAAAAAGCGTAAAATAAGCTTCTTCTTTTTTATAAATGTATTCATTTTTTGATTAACAGCCACATAATAAATGATTCAATATATATTGAAAATATCTAAAAAGTTTTTCTAATATAAAAATATACAAGATTCAAGAAAAACTTTTAGAATTTTTAAATTGAATTTAACATAAAAATTAGATTGTAACTATTGGGTTATTTTTAAGCTACCAAAGTGCTTGATTTATTTTTCTACATGGATTATAAATAATTACGACCTAAATATTCTGACAACATATTATTTATATTTTTTATTTATTTATTTTTTTTTATAATATTAAAATATACGTGTATTTGCATTTAATTGTTAGTTAATCAAGTGTTGTTGCAAATACGTTTATTAATAAATTACAAACGGACTATATTTTTGAAAAAATATTTTAATGAGGATTTTAGTAGTGCAAAAAAAAAGTTCTCATGCACAATTATATTATTCTAGACATTTTTGAAAACCACGTAAGCAAAATGCTATATACACTATACTTAAATATAATACAAATAGTGAGAAAAAATCAGTTGAGATGTCATAGCAGGTTTATTTTTTTTCTCTCGTTCATTTTTCACCTGGAAAATGGCGTTGTTTTAGTAATATGATGACCTCGGATTAGGACAAAGAATTGAACAAATCTCCGCTAACAAGGTGCTACTTCAACACACCCTTTTTCCTAAATATGTGCTGTCTACACATTTATCGAACCGGGCGATTAAGGCACCTTGCTTTTTTTTTCTCAAACACATTCCACGTTTATTCATAAGTTCAAACAGTCAAATAAATATTATATTATTTAGATATATATTTTTTTTATTTTCCATTATAAACAACATATTGTTTCTAACTTGTATCAGTTTCCATATTAATTTTTGTGTAATAATTGAGTATGCTAACAAGTCTCTTTTATTATTTAAATATTTTAGAACTAAAGATAAATTTTATTTATTGATAGGTTCATTTTAACAATTAAATTATTAAGAGTTAAAATAAAACTTTTGTTGTCCTAAAAATGTTATACTATTTTAATCAAATAAATACAATTAATGTGAAATGGTGAGATTTTATAATTTGTTCAAAAAACAAGCGCATAGAATAATTATTCGAGTTTGAATTTAAAGCATCTTTTTGTTGACGTGATTAGATTAGTTTACTTCAGGTTGTTAAAATGTTCGTCTTTTAATTTAATTTTGGCATCTGTATTTTACCAATGCATCAATATTGTGAAAACAATGAGCACCTTAACAGTTAAACAATAATATGCATATGATAAAACATAATACAGAAAACTAACGATTTCAAACCGGCTATAGAAATTATGCTAATTTTGAAATTAAGTTAATATCTTATTACGCATATTATTCTTAATAAAGTATATTTTAATTCTCCCAAAATTCGATGTAATTTTTCATTAATAATTTATGATATAAACCACTATACGCTGTAATTGAAACTCATAAAACGATAATTTATTTTGTGCTTGAAAATCATACTATAGGTATATCACTTAATTTACTAATTTTTGATGCTAAATTTCGAGTAATTGAGTTCAATAATGTATTTCTATGAAGAGAGTTCAATAGAGTTAGCCGTTTTCATATCATAAAATCGTTGACCTAATTTTCTCGATATTTTATTTGAGTGATAAACAATGAAAACTTTTCAATGGCTACAATGCTGTAGGTTTTTTGGAGTAAAGTTTCGGGTTTCAATCAATCTTTTTAATTAACATTAATGTACATATACAATATGCACGGTTGACAAATATTTCCATTTTAGTATCTCTTGAATAATAATCCGTTTCTCAATGATGAAAGAAAAATCTTCAAAATTAAACGAAAATTGTATCATAAATACGAGTAAGTACACACTTATAAATTGATACCCTTGGCAATAGAAACATATATTTTCTCCGTTTTAAACAGTAGTATTAATGCATTGCTACAAATAATTTAAACCACACATGTTATGTTTTTAATTCGATGCAAAACCTTCAAAATATTATATAGTAATTTTAAAATATTAAAAATGACAAAGTTTCAACTTTAAAAATGATTTGTTTAGTTTCTTGACATTTCTTAAACTCGACAGTAAAGATACATGTAAATTAATTTTTAAGACTATACATTATTACTAGTATTAACATTTAAAAAACTACTGGTTCAATTCCATCTATATTTTCAAAAAAAAAAAATGTTAATTCAATAATTATTTACTGTAATTAATATGGTTCTCATTTTTCATTAACAAGAAAAACAATTTAAGTTTGTTTTGCCATAGAACAACCTTTAAGTAATACTAAACATTTTAAGAGTTCAAAAATATTTATTAAACATATTTAAAAATTTTATAAATTAGAATTTGAAAAAAATCCATTATTTAGAAATAATGGATTTGAAATATCCTTTGCACAATAAAAATTTTTTAGCATCTGATTTACTTGAGTAACTAAGATACAATAAGATAAAACAAAAAAATTAAAAAATTAAAAATATGTATAAGTTATGATAATAATTGTGAAAAAGTTATATAATTTAAGTATATTTTATTATTTACATCTTTGTTGCATGGATCATTATAATATATCATCATTCCGTATTAAAGTTTTTCCCGAAAAAAATATTTAATTAATTATTAATATAGGGATATTTGCAAATATAAAATAAAACTAAAACATTTCTGCTTTAAATATAATGTTTTTTTTTTTCTTTTGGAGCACGCGCAGTCATAACATAACGTTGAAAACTTTCTCCTTAGAATTTCGATTGAACTAGCCCGAAACCATTGTTAACAGTAGTTACCCTCAACGCAGTAAACTCTAAATATATACACATATATATATATTTTCTTTTGTTTTTTTTTTCTCTCTATACATCCGATCACAACGTAAATTACATTAAATCTTCTGGCTGTCCGGCATCGAAAGCCTCCTTGTACCGCCCCTTGATGTTATATATTATCCCTCGTTTTGATACTATATGGCTATTATAAATAATATAAATTATTTTATCATTGCGGAAGGAGTTTTAGAAATTTTCAAAAATACGCTTACCTCGCTTACGTAGTCGACTCATTAATAATATACCTACTATGTTATGTATACAATGGTATCGTGTCAACAAATACGTTTAATTTAATGTATTGATTAATGTCGATGCAAGATGTGAATAGAAATTTTTTGAACATTAACAATATTGTAGTATTGATTCCTATGAAATGAGTTTCGGTTTTTGAAGTTAAACTTAATCAAAAAAAAAAAAAAAAAAATGAGCGTCTTAAATGCTCTTCAAATACTGCAGTTATAGGACATATAAATGTATAAAACTGATATTCAATGCACTTAAATTTAAATACATTAAAATTAAGTACTCTAATATAATGATACATCGATATTAATGTGTAAAATTTTACATACAACCGTTTGAATAACTGGACATAAAATATAATTAACTAAATATTAGTGTAATAAATTAAGTAATAAAATATAACACGTTATAATTTAAATATTTAAAATTTGCCAGGTATTGTATCATTGGTGTTTTTTTCTATAAACGATTTAAGTAATTTCGGTTCATCATCAAGTGTGTGTTCATAAAAACTGATATTAACAATCATAAAATCATCACTAAATTAATATTAGTTTATAAAAATATAGCCGGAAAATAAAAACTCAGTTTAAATATAATTACTATCATCGACTTATTTTGTTTGAATACTATTATTTCTAAGCAAGTATTGTTTGCAGCAGGTAATTTTATTTTTATGAAATATTTAGATAAATTCAAGATATTCAATAACAAATAATTTTTAAAACTAACATTCGGAAAAATCTTACAATACATTTGTTGGTAAAAATTATTCTATAAATAATAATTTATGTAAGGTATAATTTTCATTTCACCTTAAATATTTAAAGAAGGTTTATTAAACTTTTTGAGTACCCAAAATCATTTCATGAAAAAGGTACACATTAATAAATAGACAGCAGCGCTTACGATACCCCATTGAACTCAAATTGAAAAAAAAAAGTGTGAATAAATAATGAATTGAGTTTATTGCGTTAATAACGGCCTCAATCGCATATATAATATATTATGCAGTAATATTATTATAATTTTCCCAAATCGCTTTCGAAAGTGAGTAATAATAACACTTTCCATTTAGTCATGGTTTTATTTTTTCAAGTTTGTATGAATACAAAGAGCTTGGTTATTCACAGTCTAGAAAATGCACCGGAAAAATGATGTTATGAAAAAAATACGGAATGGGATAAGAACGTTTTGAAAATTAAATTTTAAGTCTACTTTTTGAAGAATGTATGTTGTTAAAACTGCGTTGAAATAACATTTGTAAATTGTGTCAGTTGAAATTTACATATCCTACAATTTGCTCTCGAGAAGAAACATGTTTTTTTTTAAATTACGTAGTGTGCGTACATTAACCCCTTCGTTCATTCGTTCGTTCGTTCAGTTTTTTTTATTTTTATTTTTTATATTATTATTCATCCGTTCGGCTACGAAATATTGTTCTCTCGCACAAGCCAGAAGGGTATATTCACGTATATATAGTATACGTGCGGAGAGCGAGTGCCGCCTCTGGATGTCGTCCAACACTATCTCCGCGTTTTTCCTTCCGATTTCAACCATACACATCTACTAACAGATACCCTCTCCTTAATATATGTATAAACATACAAATTGCAAGCACCGACGTTCGTCTGGACCTTTTTGTTTCTCCGTATTTCCGCGCGTCCACCAACCGCCTGCCGCGCTAACGTCTGTTATTAGATTTCACCCAGGGACGGTGATTAACGAAATGAATT